TCACAACACCTGTCCCATCAACCAGGAATCAGAAATACTTAAATAATCCCAGGGCGAAATTACTTTTATTATATTACTCCATCTGTAATAGAGTGACTATAGGACCAGTTTGATAGAGCACAATTTTATACTATATATATTTAGGGGGTCCCCGCTCCACCTCGCCATCAGTTTGGGGGTCCTTGACCTGGAAAACGTTGGACACCCTGATTTAGAGGGAAACAAGCAAACCAACATGGCGGTGCCCGTAACATTCAGGAGGTTTGCTGAGAGTCAGGCGAAGAAGGCAGCCTTTGCTGAATGTGGATATGACAAACTATAGTCTAATCAGGGCTTACAGCCGCAGTAAACAACAACAGGAGTTGATGTTTATCACACTGCTAAGCAGAATCATCACGGTAGGGAAGCTAGTATTTTTATGAATTCTGATTACGGAGAATGACTGTAAGGAGATGATGCGGTCTGCTCATGCATTCTTTGTTACAGAGCCAGAACTGAACCGTGCCGAGCCCTACTGATGAATTAGTACCATGTTAGCGCAGTTTGGTTCTGTCTGGCGCGGTCCGGTTGTTTTTTGCTTCATTATCTCAGTTACCGTGCTCTGACCGATCTCCATACGGCTTTATAAAGGGTAGTGTTAATGGGGTAGTAAGTTCCTGATAGTTATGAGCGCTGCCATTTTTGTTTGTTTGTCCCGCTTTGAGAGTTGTAGTATCATGGATCTCTGATGAGAGGTGAGGAACCGTGCTGACGTGATGTGTAAATGGTCGTAAGAACCGAGCTCGGCACGATTAACTGATCCAAGTTCGGTCAGAACTCAGCACAGATCAGTTTCAGATCGGTAGTTCCAAAAAAAGAAAGTTAAAAACAATCCACTGGACTTTGTTTCCAGGTTTGAAGACGTTTCGCTTCCAACGCAAGAAGCTTTTTAAATTCAAAATGTCCGAAGTAACATGGCGGCATGGCTGTCATTAGCCAACCCTGGGCCCATTAGGTGGGTACAGAGGAAAGACAGACGGGGGTTAAAGGTCACCCCTCGATGTCCTCAGAGCTTTCGGCGGGTTAGGGGCTCTCACCACAGCGCAGGGAGCGGAGTGCAGTGAACAGGCGTTACAAAGATGTTGTGGAAGTCGTAGTGAAAGAGGCCGGCGCTGGTGAGCGAAGCCTGCTGGTCCTCCTCCTGCAGAGGGGTGGGGCTCGAGCTCCGAGGGCTTCCATAATCCAGACGGCAGCTCATCTGCAAGGAAGGTGGCACACAGTTTACCGTCAGGTCGATTACGTTAGGATCAGAGTATCTGATGGACTGAGGAAGTAGAACTAGTGTCTGAGCTGGACCAGTTCTGATTTGATGCAAGTGCAAAAAAAAAAGGACTGAAATAAATTATTATTTCACAAAGATAAAAGATTAAAAAATAAATCCCAGAGTCCCCTGAGTCTAAATATTCCCATTAATCTAGAAAAAATCCAGATTTTAAACTAGAGCTGAAAGATGGTGTAATAGACCTTTAGTTTCCTGACCCTAAAGCTGCAGTCAGAGGCCAACTTCAGCGCCGTTTGTCTATCGTGGAAGAGCAGCCCAGGCATGCTATCTAATGCTAATGCTCCTTTTGAATATTTTTGTATTTGCGTAAATATTGCATATTCTAGAAACGAAAAAAAGCAATACACTTGAACAACATTTCGAACTTTACTGTATGGACGGATGCTAACAGCTTGGAGTCAGGTTGGTCTATACATGATCTAAAATGGCAGCCAGAGGAGCAGATACAGCTGATATTTGCTAAAGTTAAGTTAAATGATGAAAACTGCCTCAGCGTTACTGACAGCTTGGTCGTTGCTATGGTAACAATTAAATTCAGTTTATCTCTATAGCGCCAATTCACAACATATCATCTAAAGGCGCTGAAAACTACAGTTCACTAGATCATACTAAGGAAAACCAGTTGATTGGATTGATTCATTGACTAGAATGCAAGCCCTCACACTAAGCATGCTTGTAGCGACAGTGGAGAGAAAAACTCCCTTTTAACAGGAAGAAACCTCCAGCAGAACCAGACTCGGTGTGAGCGGCCATCTGCCGAGGCCGACTGGGGTTCAAGGAGACGGAAGCAGAAAATAGAGAAGAGTTTTTTTTGTGCATCTAATTAGTTTTAAGTCTAAAGGTGAAAATAATGATTTCCCTGGTAGAAAAAAAAGGGGGGGGGAGGGTGATTCGAGAATAACTTTGCCTTTTCTCAGATTTCTGTCTTTTCTTGGGAAAATATTTCCCATTTTCAGATGTAATTTATGTATTTATTTTAATTTCTCCATATCAGCTTCTCTTCACTTCTGGGGGCGGGCAAAGACATTTTTATTGGCCGATAGCTGGACGGCAACAAAACCATTTTATTGGCAAGAGTGAGCGTTTGGAAGAGAATTTGATCTGAGAAACAATTTGAAAACTGTGAAATTAACATTTAATTTGAAAAAGAATTTTGAAGAAAAAATATAAGTGTAGAAAAAAATCTGAGTAAAGTTCCTCTAAACCTTTATTTGATTAAAAGATTTTTCAGATTTAAATTTCAGTTTACAGAAAATAATGTTGCCTTCAATAGTAATGGAACAAAATTCACTCCATAGATTTTCATTTAGCTGCACAGATTCTGCAGAAAAAAAGCCAACAAACCAGTTGAACCGAAAGAGAACCTGGTGGTTTGAAGCTGGTCCCAGAAAAAAAAAAAAACATCTGTGAACCAGGAGCGCATTTAGAGGCCTGAATAATCGAGCTCACCTCAGACTCGCGGTGCTTTTTCTTTGTCATCTCCTTTACGTCTTCATCCAAGTCGGGTAAAAACTACAAACCAGGGACAGAAATCATCAGTCAGATTCAAAAAACACGGTTCTACTCAGATATACATAACTTCAGGAGTACAAATCACAAAATTGGGGCATTTTTGATCATTTAAAATCAGCCATTTTATTTTAAACAGGAGATTAATATGTAGCTGTTTTCTGTGGTGTCAAAAGTACACACATTAGTTACTTAAGTAGAAGCATAGATACTGCAATTTAAAAACACTCAAAAAGTAAAAGTGAAAAAGTATGTACTCCAAAAACGTCTTAGGGCCGGATTTATCAAAGGTTTGCGTGTATAAAAACGTGAGCTATTTCACTGCGCACGCTAAAAAATGTACAAACTGATCTATCAACAGCGTGCTAAAAGGATGTAGTCTTTAAAACGTGCTAAATAGCGCCTCTTATCCATTTAGTACTTTTTCTGCAATGAATATGCAATATGGGGCGTTTACACGCAAAAGTGCGTCTTGTGGGAGGAGAACATGTAAATATATTAATTTAGCACTCGCAAAGTGATTTATCAAACCTGAAAGCAATTTTGCTAACGGTATCTGACTCTATATTTAACACCTTTCAAAAGAAGGTGCAAATGGTCTGTATGCGTAATTGCGCACACATGGCAGCGGTTATTGTCGCAAGAAGGAGACATGGAAATGAAGCAAGGAGACGCAGAGAACGCATTTTTTCACTCCGTGTGAATATTTTTGGAATGAACGAGGAAACGATCATCAAAACATATCGTTTATCCAGCATTGCCATTCTGGAGCTGTTGGGGGAACTCCGGATGGATTTGGAGCCAGGCACAAGGAGGACCCACGCAATACCAGATATCACAAAACTCCTTGCAGCATTGCACTTTTTTGCATCTGGGATCTCCCAATCTCGTTTTTCAGAAGTGCTGTCCGACGTTCTAAATGCCATGTCGCCCTGACGCCCTACCGGAGAGAACCCGGACCTCCCCCTTGCGCCTGTGGAGCAACATGCCAATGCTGCGGGGATGTGCAAGCGCAGTCATCTTATCCACAGTCACTTCTTGTGAGCCATTTGTGGTATGAGCATTTTTCTACAGGCCGATACAAAACACCTGTTTTTTTTGTTTTTGTTTTTTTTTTTTTACTGCAGTGAAGTAGAAATTCAGCCACATACCACCTTAGGGAATAAAGGTTGCCAAAGTTTATATATATAATTTTTTTTTTTTTTTGGAGGGGGTGGGGGTGTCACTGTAAGATTAAACTTTCTTAATGCACTAGTTTGCACAAACTACAAACTACTTTTCCGCAAACCACAAAACGCGCAAAACCATCATTTAAATAGGGCGTCTCCAACAGTTTTGCACCTGCCACCAGTTACGCAATCACTCTTGTTAAATCACCCGCAAACCATGGTTCAGCCCCTCGCGCAAAATTCCAGTTTGCGAGCGCAAATTACTGCACGCAAAATTGGATCTTGATAAATCCGGCCCTTAAAGTATAAGCAAACCTTTGAAAAAAAAAATGAAAAAAAGAAAACAGCCAGATGCCACTACATGAATTGAAAGCTCATTTTTTCGACTATGGAATTTTGCGAAGGTTAAAAATTAGTGTAATTGGATGAGCCATAAAACGCAAACATTGGTTAGCTAAAGGAAATCATCAGAAGCAAGCAGGTGTTCTTCAAACTGCAAACGTGAATTGTCTATGCCATGCTACAATGTTGGATTCAGAAAAAGATGTTGAAATGTCGTAAAGTTCGGACACAGGCAAGAGCGAATCGGGAGATGGAGACCAACAAGACCTCATTCAAACCTCACCTCACCTCATTCAAACTGAATAAATCTTAAGCTGTTGCATCGAACCAAACCATTAGGAAACCATCTCCTGTTGACATAGAGTCTGCCAGCAGCTGAATATCTTTGTTCTCAGTTTTCCCAGCCATTCTGTTGCATATTAAACGGCTCAATTTGGACCAAGACGCAGCTATTGTGTTGATTATAAAGTAACAAATCTGCCAAAAGTCCAAACACCCTGTAAATTCTTATTTGAGCAGTTTTATTTAAAACACGTGCATGTAAAATATGTTTTGAATTGTCTATGTGTGCAGATGCAATACTATGAGGCCCCAAATATCACAATACTCCTCTGTGCTCATGGAGCACAGATAGATTCTCTCATACGGGTGGTGGAACCAACCTGAGAAAGTCACCTGCATGCGAGTGGATACTTTTCAGGAAATCCTGCTTCATGTGAAAATAGTACAATATTTTCCTCCTATATAGTCAAAAAATTTAGCTTTCAATTCATACAGTGGCATCTGGCTGTTTTTTAAAGGTTACTTTATACTTTAAGCAGTTATTGGAACACATACTTTTTCACGTTTACTTGAGTAAAGTGGTCTAGTTGATACTTCAACTTTTACCAGAGTGTTTTTAAACTGCAGTATCTATACTTTTACTCAAGTACCAAATGTGTGTACTTTTGACACCCCTTCAAGCTCTGCTAATTGGCTGGATATAGATGTTGTGCTTCTTGACCTCACAGAGGGATGGGGGGACTATTTGTAAGTGATCAAAAACGGTAACTTACCCTATAAAGACATTTAAATATGATTTCCATACGACTATAAAGGAAGCACTGATGAACATCTGTTAGATATTTTTTTAGGGGGAACAGGAGGTGAAAGTCAAAGGCTATTTTCGCACTGCAGGCCTTAATGTTCCGTTTCGATTTTTTGTGAAATCAGATTTTTCTGCGTTGCTGTTCACATTTCCAAATATATGTGACTTCTATGTGATCACCTGTGTGAACGGCATTCATATGACTTCAAGCGTCCTGCATGCGCAGTAGAGGACGCCATGACACCACAAGCCAGCGTGCTTCACGTTTACAGAAGTAAACATGGATGGTAGTGCTGGAGAACATCTAGCCATCTTTCCCAACCTTACAGGGAAACATTTATTTTTATTTTTATTTTATTTTTTTTTTACAATGGCCCCTTGATTTTACATTATTACAGCATGTTCTACTCACCCATATAATTTTGGGTCATTTGGAGCCGTTCTGAAGACATTCCGTTAGGTTATATCCAAGTAACGTCTTCCTATGGGCAACGACATGTAGGCGAATCACTGTCCCCCAGAAATCCGCGGTCATATTTTTTATATTTATATATTTTTTTAAAACAAAGCGGAGTGTGTATGATGTCATCCGCGCGCCGGACTGGAGTTGTGACAGGCAGCCCGGGTCACAGGCGGCTACGCAAGCTAAGTGCATGCAGCAAGTTAGCAGAAGGAGACGTGATAAAACTAATAAATTATCCATTAGGTAACAATCGGTTCAGTGTGTGCAAGTAAGTAAGTAAAACTAGCTGCAGTTCAGCGGACAGGATGAAGGAATGGTAGCCAGCGCATGAGGATGACTTTATACACACTCCGCTTTGTTTAAAAAAAATATATAAATACAAAAAATATAACCGCGGATGTCTGGGGGACAGTGGCTGCGTCTCAATTCGCAGGCTGCGACATATTATGAATGCTGGCGTACCATAAAGAATAAATTATGAACAGTTTAGTTTGTGCCTTCAAGTCGTCGCCCATAGGAAGACATTACTTGCATATAACCTAACGGAATATCTTCAGAACGGCTAAAATCAAGCGCCCAATGTAAAATAAAAAATGGTGTTCCACTTTAAAAACACAATGTGATGGTTAACATGAATACTGCTCTCTGCATTATCAGCCATTTTTGTAGTTCTTCTTGCCACTTCTTCATAGCAAGACCCAGAATAGTGACCATTATCGGCTATTAATGGCGTTCAGGTCGGATGAATGCCACCTGGCTGTTCAGACACAGGTCACATTTGAAAAGATCAGATTCATATCGGATTAAGGACCACATAGCCAATCTGGGTCAGATTGTAAAAAAAAAATCAGATCTGTGTTGTTCAGACTGTCATGAAAAGATCAGATCCAGGTCGCATATGGGCTAAAGAATGGGATTTTGGTCACTTCAGGCTTTAGTGTGAACGCAGCCAAAGTGAACTAGTGTTTAGAGACAGACAGGCTGCTTACAATGGCAACATCTGCCTTCCTCTTCCTCTGTCGCCCTGGGTTGTCTTTAGGAGCTCCTTCAGCAGCAGACTTTGGTTCCTTCTCTTCCCTGTGAAACAAAAACACGTCAGATTTTAAACCTCAGGTGTCAAACGGAACCAGGTGGAAGAAGCAGGTTAAACCGGCAGCCGAGGTCCCAAATGAAGAGTCCCGGTGACACAAGGCCACAGGTTAGCCGGAGAGCTAAGGCTGCAACTTTCCCAGGTCATTCATGGAAACCAAAGAGTCACACTCACTGTTGTCCCCGCATTATCCTCGCACGCGCCTCGGAAAGCTTCAGAGCAAACCTGTGGCGGGAAAATAACAACAGGTTAGGAGGAATTTTAAGAGGAAAAACACATTTTGATTTAAAGAAAAAGTCCCAACCCCCCACGCTCTGCTCCCTCCTTCCGACAAAGCTAAACCGAACCAGGCGCGGGTAAAACAAAAAACTACAGTAGACAGGAAATTTCCTGCCGAGCGAACCGAACGGAACCGGAACCCATCAGAACCTACAAAACCGGACACGGAGAGTTTAAGCTTTATTTCACTTTCTGCTCCAACTTTCGGACATCTCAACAGGCCGACACTTTACCTCAGGCTTCCTGCCTGTGAAGTTCACTCTTCTTCGGCTCAGGTGTTCAAAGGTGGTCTCGTGGCAGCGGTTAGGACTCCTCCGCCGCTTTTGTTCTGGTCCAGCCTGCTGCTCCGGCTCGCGCCTCAGAACAGATGAGTCGGAGTTCTGTGACGTCACCCGCGGGAGTTCATTTAAATTGGCGCTAAACCTCCTCCCGCGCCGCTCTGATTTTCGCTCCGTTTTTCGTCGCGTGGTGAATCCGAACCACTCGGACGTTACATCCTCACAGATATTATTTTTAACTTTTCAAAAAGAGGTTAAAAAAAAGTTTAAGTTTTGCTTTTTCGTCGGTGAAGCAGGAGGGGTGTCTGCTGCGGTGACAGCTGCAGGGGGCGGGGCATCCGCCACGGCCTGATACCGCGTGGCTTCCCTGTCAGATGTAAACAAAGCCCCGGCCTTTTAAAATAAACCACGAAATAAGAACCAAAACGTTGGTTATTTGTTATAATTTGGTGTATTTGGTTTCTGTCGGTGTTGAACGTTGCTGTCGCCCACTTGACACGCAGGTGACAGCTTTCATTTTAACCACAAACTCGCGGAAACGCAATCTGGGCAACTTTTGCCGCTCTGCTAGTTTCTCATACGTCAGTGATGCCGCCATATTAGGGAGGGCAAGTGAAACCAATTAGAACCGTTAACGTGGCTCAGTTTATGTGGATTTAATGTCTAATTTCAAAGTTCAATTCAACAATATGATTTATTTAACCTTCAACACGCTTCTTGGTTCATTTTAACGGAGTATAAATCGTGTTAACTTTCCTTGAACATATTGTCAAACCAGGGGGTTTAGGTTCAATCCAGAAACATGTTTGCGATTCTCATCTTAGATTTTCAATTAATCTTTTAAATTTCAGCTCTCATATTTTGCCAATAATCTATTCATCTTTAGGATAAAGGATATTTCTTTTTTTTAATGTAACAAAACCCAAAACTCATTCATGTATTTTTCCTTTGAAAATATTTACATGGAAAAGATCGCAGGGAAGTCATATTTAAATGTAATATCATTCCGGCTTAAACATTTATATAAATGTACTCTTTAACAGATGATATTGTCCCAAAATTTAAAACATTACTATTAAAAAAAAAAAAATTCTGTCTTAAAATCTGTTTTTTTTTTTTCATTATCTTCTGCAGGTCAGTTAGTTATATGTCAGCTTGAACACCTAAATTTGGTCAATCATATATCAACTGTCATCTGTCAATCAAATTTTTTTGGTCATAGCATCTTGATTCGTATGTTGCAGCTAATATGCGCAACGGTTGAAATAAGAATCTTCGCAGAGTAGTGGTGACCGTTACAGGTGTATAGTTGGAGAGTGAATTGTGCCTGTTTCTCAATTCACAAGAACATGAGTACAGACTCATGTCCTCGGCAAGTATGTTCTTGAGAAGAACGCAGGAAAGTGTGGACATCACACGCTTGGCTCGTCTGGAGCTGCATTTCACCTCCTGTTATTAATAATCTCTAGATAATAATACATTATTACTTTTTTCATTTATTGGGGGAATAATAATGAACACAGTCAGATAAACATAAATTAAATGAACATTTTACCAAATAAAACAAAAATATCGCCATCAGAGCCAGCGGTCCTTCATACTGCAGACAGGCTAACTTTAGCCCTGGCTACTGTTAGCTTCGGAGGTCCGCTGGTTACCAACTGGTCCTCTCAACTTCAGAATTTTTTTTTCAAATTATGCATTAAATCTGTAAATGGGCCATATAGTGATGTTTAAAAGTATAATGTCCTCGTCTCAAATGATCTTAAAAAGTACTTTTATTAGACAACAGCAACATAAAAGAGAACTTTTAACTTAAGTCTCTAAGCTTTGTGAGCGCTCCCTTGAAAGGAAAGGGAGGAGACTCATCCACGACCTCCGACACAAAACTCTCCTCCTCTTGCATGTTTCCTCTGTCCATAGCGTTCCTTGACAGTGTTGTTTCTACGTCGCCAATTTAGTGCCCCTTAGCAAAAAGTAGTTTATTCAAATATACTAAAAGTGCACTAATTTCATACTTAAAATCAGGCACTTAGAGTTTACGTATTCTAAACTATATTTCATATACTTAACAATAGTAGGCCTATAGTCAAGTACACTTGACTATACTATTGTTTACTTTATTGTTACTAAAGTACACTTTAAGTATACTTTAGTAAACTTGAAAATGTCCCAATTTAGTTCGAAGAAGTATTACTTCAGTAATACTTCAAGTACACTTAAAGTTGGTATACTTTCTAAACTTATACTTAAGTATTCTTAATAGAATTTACTTCAAGTATACTACTTTTTGCTAAGAAGCTACTTGCTCCCAACGGAATTTTCCATTGGGAACCTGCTAGCACTAAGTTGCTTACTTATTAGCAAGATGCTTCCGACAAACCGAACACAACCAATTTTGTTTGCAAACCTTCCAGCACAGCAATTCCGCCCCCTTGATAAACGACCAATAACATTCACTTATTCACTCGTGTAAAGTCGTGCACCACTCTGAAGAATTCAGAAATGTACCGTTTGGAACGACCGCTTTGCTACGACTTCAAGTTAATTTACCACTAAAAAAGTAATTTTACATAAAAATGTGTTACATAAGATACATTTTCCTGGAGCTAAAATCCAACCAACTTCGAAGAGTTTAGGCTGAAAAATGTAAATCTATTGATGGGCTGCATCACATGACCATGTGATCTACTGAATCCTTCTTAGAGTTAGAGGTATAAATATCATATATATATATATATATATATATATATATATATATATATATATATATATATATATATATATATATATATATATATATATATATATATATATATATATATATTTTATAACACATTGAAATACCTGTTTAATGGTTTATTCTGCTTTTTAAATTTTGCCCCTTTTGGACATTCATGCATTGGCTGTATTAAACTCAACCCTGCAGGCCCAGTGATCATTAACCCACATGTATTTATTTACAGCTTTTTAATGCATTCAATGGGAAATAAAAACAACTGAAGCCTTTCTGAACAAAATTATTAAAAAACCAAGTTAAAAGTTTGAGTTTCTGATTGATTTTTGTCTTTGAACCTTGCTCAGTCACGTGATACTCACTCCAGTGAAAGAGAAAATCACCTTTCATTCACCCCAGCAGCCGTGTGGTACCACTAAAAGAAACAAAATGAAGTTTCAGAAACTTTTTGGGTCCCTGAAATCCGTCGTTATTGGAATGATTCATGTCAAAGCTTTGCCAGGTAAATTCTATTTTTTATAACCTTTTTTTATTCTCCATGGAGCAGGACTGGCTACTGCTGCAGGATTCCTGAAAGATATAACTGGTTTACCATTAGACTCTTAACAAATCTGCCATCTTTTTTCTGAAGTAGTTTGATCCAGTATTAGAGTAGTAGGATGCAATGAAGCGATCACAGAAAAGTAATAATTCTGGCAAAAAAAAGTACAGTTTGTCTAAATATTTGTCAAGTATTACTCTGAATCTATGGGGTAAGATAACTGTCAAAAATGTGTGCATAGGGGCATGCGGGTGGTGCAGTGGTTAACGCGCACAACCCGTGTACTGAGGCCTCAAATTTCGACCCAGGATTGAATCCAACCTGTGATCCTTGGCTGCATGCCTCTCCCTCTCTCTCATACCCCCTTTCCTTTCAGCCTACTGTCGAAGAAACGAGCCACTAGTGCCACAAAAACTCAACAAAAAAAAAAAGAAAAATGTGTGCATAGGTGTCTGAATTTGTAAATATCAGTCAATGAACATGAATAAACTTAAGATTTGTATTTGTCTCTTGTTTTTTAGCTCCTACATACCTGTGACTTCCAAAGATTTATCATTGAGAATTCAAGGTTATAAGTTTCAAAGCCAGGTTATAAAGCTCTAAAAAGTATTAGTCAAAAATCAATGGGTATGGATATTAGGGGTGGGTATCGCCAAAGAAGTCACGATTCGATTCGAATCACGACTCACAGGCCACGATGCGATTCTATCACGATGCATCACGATACTTGAATTATTGCAGTGCATTGCAATATTTTGTCCTCCATGTTTTGTTTTGGAATGACTCGGCACAGTATCCCGCGGCCGGAAATGCTTGTGACACAAGGCAGCGTGCGTCAACACATTTGCAGCGACATCTACTGGACTGGAAGTGGTATTACACTTGTTTTTGGCTGATGTTCGCCAACCATTCATGCAATTTTATTTATTAATTTTTTTAAATTAATAATCGATTCTTGGCATCAAGTATGGCATCATACTATAAATTTGTGAGTTCTATTCATGAATGTTTAATTCATACTCCTGAATTTGTGATTTGAATTGTCAAATTTGTGTTTTGTTCTCGGAGGATGAGGAGAGCCCGCCTGCCCCCGCCCATCCTCACAACCTTCTACAGAAGCACCATAGAGAGCGTTCTGACCAGCTGTCTCTCTCTGTGGTGTGGAGGCTGCAGAGCTTCTGACTGGAAGAATGTGAGGAGGGTGGTGAGGACAGCGGAAGGAATCATTGGGGCTCCTCTTCCCTCCATTAAGGACATTTCATCACAGCGCTGTGTGTCCCGAGCCCGTAATATCATCAAAGACCCCTCACACCCCCACCATGGACTGTTCTCCCTGCTGCCCTCTGGAAAGAGGTTCCGCAGCATCCGCTGCAGATCCACCAGGTTGTGCAACAGCTTCTTCCCCACTGCCATCAGACTGTTGAACCTTTGATCCACAATCCGAACTCTGCACCTATTGCACATTATCGGGCATCAAATGCTGCTGAACTTTTAACTTTTAGCCCTTTAAATTGTTCATCTCATTGTATTTTTCAATAACGCATTTTTTGCACAAATGCCATTTTGCACTGAACCACTGCAACTTGCACACTGTCTCTTATCCTCTGCACTGTTCACACTTTGACCACTGCTGCACTTTTTGTATTTTTCTATAACTCGTGCCATTGTGAAATATCAATGCAACGTTCATAAGCTGTATGTAACGCAATTTCGTTCTGTATGCACCCTGTGCATACAAAATGACAAATAAAGAAGTCTAAGTCTAAGTCTAAATTAAGGATTTGTACTTTATAATTTTTGATTCGTACTCTTGAATATGGTATTTGAACTGTCAATTTTGTGATTTGTACTTTTTAATTTTTTAATGCATACTTTTACAATAGCATATTGTATCCTTATATTTGTGATAGGTACTTGGAATTTGAAGTATCCTAAATTTGAAGACTGTGATTCTTATGTTCAAATTTGTGATTTGTACTCATGAAATCATGACTTATAGTCATGAATTTGTGATTCATTCTTATACAACATGTACAGATGAAACATCTGATATATGAGTATCAAAAAAGGAAGAAAATCAATTCCTAAATTTGTTCAACTTTCATTGATGTTTACAAAGTCAGACACATTGGCATTTGTTTTTTTATTGTCAGGCATCTTACGCCATAGCGTTCTTTCTTGTGTGTCCCAGGTACTCCTCTGGGTTGTCTGAATATGCCGCAGATCATTAAAGAAGCGTGCCATGAGGCAGAGGTCTACCTGGATGCAGGCATCGTAAGTTTCTACATATCACGTAAGCACAGTTGAGATCTTCCCTCTCAAAAGAGGAATCACAGCTTGTAAATGCCTCTTTCAGGATGGCTTGATCGTTGAAAACATGCACGATGTCCCCTACTCGTTCAGCGTGGGCCCTGAGGTGTGTGCCTGTATGGCAGCGGTCTGCTCTGCTGTCAGAGGTGTCTGCCCCACCCTGCCTCTGGGAGTTCAGATCCTGTCCTCTGCTAACCAGCAAGCACTGGCTGTGGCTTTAGCTTCAGGTTCTACTATTCATCAGTTTATTGTCCAATGTCTCATTTCACACTGCACACATTTTGTCCTAATCCACTGCAAAAGTGTAAATATCAGTAAGTACATTTTTCATCTAATTATGTGTATTTGGTCTTGATTTAAACCAGTAAGTAAAAAAAATTGCCAGTGGAATAAAGGGATTTACATTTAGATTAAGAAAAGCTAACTCCATTAACTAATTTCAAGCACGTAATAATGTTTACACTATAAAAACTGATAATTCAATTGAGTTTTTTTATATAGCGCCAATTTATAACACATGTAATCTCAAAAAAATTCACAGAAACAATTCAACCAGATCCTCCAGTCAGATTGGTTCAGTTTTCTATCTAAGGAAAACCAGCTGATTGATTCTTAAGCAATCCCTCACACTGAGCATACTTGTAGCGACAGTGGAGAGAAAAACTCCCTTTTAACAGGAAGAAACCTCCAGCAGACCCAGCCTCAGTGTGAGCGGCCATCTGCTGAGGCTGACTGGGGTTCAAGGTGATAGAAGTAGACAAGTTCAAAAATTTGATCCGCTGATTAAATGAATATTTTTGCAACTAAAAGAAGAAAATCTATATTATGCTAAGGAAATAAAATACAATGTTTGTGTTTGCTTTCTTTCTTTTAATCCTCTTATACTAATGATAGATTGTCCTCCCTATTTGCTCGAGGGAAAAATACATTTAGTTCAAAAAAATTGTCCTACTTAGATATAATTTTTGCAGTGGAACATCTAGTTCATCATCCTCACCACTTTCACAGCTAAATGTGTCCAACATGTCTACCAATCTTACATCTAGAGCCATAAAGTCTTTTTAATCTTGCTTTGAGTTCAGCCTACTAATCAAGAGCAGATTCTCTGAGATTATTAATCCTAATTTGAAAAGATATTAGGTAAAAATTCTAGCAAAAATCTACCTTAGTAGTCAGAATGTTGGGGAGACATGTTGTTTTAAGAATATATATCATGATTTCAAGAGGTCTAATCGAATTGCAGTGGCCTTAGTGACCTTATTTAGATATTATTGCAGATTATTGCTCTCATTTTGACCAGAATCTTTTCAATAGATGAATAATAATCTTCCAGAATCCTCTCCTGCTTAGTCTTTTAATTTTAAAAACTAAATAAAAAAATTTTTTTTTGGCTAGATCTAAGATTGAAAGACATGGTTAGATGGGCAGTTTCTGCAGTGTTGATGTTTGTTTTTTAGGTCTGGACTTCATCAGGGCAGAGGGGTTTGTCTTTTCTCACGTGGCCGATGAGGGTCTGCTGAATGCCTGCGCCGGGGACCTTTTGAGGTATCGCAAGCAGATTGGAGCAGACGATGTGCAGATCTTTACCGACATCAAAAAGAAGCACAGGTGAGGCGACTGGCTGTTCAGATCCAGTTAACTCTGCCTGGCAAAATGCTTCTGTTAATAAAAAAACTAAAATGATAAAAATTGCTTTGTTTTCAGCCCCTTTGGGCTGGAGCGCAAAGCGCCACCAACAGCCTTCAGACGTCACTTTAGTTTGTTGACAGAGTCCACTTCTCTGCCATTTATGGAATGACAAATGAAAGCTGCCTGGATAGGTTAGGTTAAGGTTGGGTTGGTTATGGTTAGGACTTGGGTAAGATTAAGTTAAGTTACCGTAAGTTAAGTTAAGTTAAGTTAGGTTGGGTTAAGTTAAGTTGGGTTAGGTTAAGTACCGTTAGGGTTAGGTTAGGTTGGGAGTTTTTACTCGTAAACTGGGTAAGACTCTTATGAGTCGTTTTCGTCCAATCAGAGACATGCTATACAATCAATATTGCACTGTCATCTCAAGGCACTTTACAATTCACAAGATCATACATTCAGATTGATTCAAAGTTTTCTATCTAATTGCATGGACTCATTGACTTGAAGACAATCCCTCACACTAAGCATGCTTGTAGCGACAGTGGAGAGGAAAAACTCCCTTTTAACAGGAAGAAACCTCCTGCAGAACCAGGCTCAGTGTGAGCGGCCATCTGCTGAGGCTGATTGGGGTTCAAGGAGACAGAAGCAGAGATACAAAAGGCAACTGTTAAAGGCGGCCCATCCAGGAAACACACAGCCAGGCAGGCGGGCTCTGAGCCAGCTCCAATGCCAGAGGATGAAGAGAGCACATCCAGTTAGTCACAGTCAGAAAAACAGGACTACATTGAAAAACAGGCCGATCTCCAACATCTATAAACAAAGGTGTTGATGGCAGCAGCACAGCTGATATTTCTCTCAGTGTTAAAAAATTATTTGAGAAAAAACTTGTTTTAGAAGCAGTAAAGCCTCCTCCTTTACCAGAAGCACAACTTCAGCGTCACCCTCTGGGCCCTGCAGGGACACAGGGGTTGAGAGCAAGTACACTAATTTTAATGCTTTTTTTTTATTTTTTAGGATCGGTTTGTGCAGTGTTTTCCTGTACAGTAAGTCTTGCGTTCGTCTGGACAAACTCATCTCACTGCGTGTGTCTGTCTCCAGTTCCCATGCTCTGACCTCTGATGTGACTATAGAGGAAATGGCCCGAGCCGCTGAATTCTTCCTGTCAGATGGACTCATCATCACTGGAGCGGCAACCGGAGACCAGGCTGACCCATGTGAGCTCAGAGGTACTGATGCACTTTGTCAGCAACCAGCATGTTTCTGAGGAACCATGTTTCCCTGGTTAGTTAGACAGAGCAAAGCTTTAAATGTTTATTTATATCAGGCGTTGTTAGAAGCTCTGTCCAGCAGGGGGCAGTGTTGTATTAAAGGAAACAACATTTGTGCTGCTGCTCCCTCTCTGCTCTAGAAGAGGCTTTTGATGTCATGTGGAGGTATAATCCATTGTTTACCATTGAAATGTAGTGATCACCCTTTTTTTTAACACAGTTTCTGGTTTCTTTGTGTCTGGCAAAGTTACCATGTATTTCACTGGGTCTGATTTTATTTTAAATCACTTTGATACATAAACGTTCATGTTTTTAATATTTTAAAATAGTATAGAAAGCAAACTATTATCGACATCAATGCTTTACAGAAGGGTGTAGCCAAAATAGGGTTCAGGACCAGTTGATCAGGGCCACTGGAAGAACAGTTGGTGCTTTAAAACTTTTTTGGGATTTTTTGGACAAAAGTTCTATGAGCCTATAGGCCTGTTTAACATACAATGACAATTAATAGTATATAGATTGAGATTCACTACATGATTTTCAGTATTTCACTTCAGTGCATTCAACCAGGATCTGTATCACACAGACAGGCTATTAATAAACTTCACCATTAGTATTGCAGCGATACCGACACCAATATCGGACTAAAATCGATTGATAAATTGAATAGATTTATTTAAAATTAAATAATTACTTCTCTTTATATTTATTAATTAATAAAGGAAGTAATTTTAATATATATCATAAACATATATTTTAATGTGCATTTTATAGGTGATCTCCTGTCTGTTTTATGGTCACAGCCTGAAATGTTTGGTAGTTAAAGTATAAAACAGCCTTATTGTGGTTTAGTCGATGCCTTTATTGACCGATACTGCTGAAAAGTCTTAAATTTGTCAGCTGTTTAAATGTTGACCCATTATTATTGATCCAAGGAAAAGTAGAGATTGGGGTCTTCAATCGATTGTTTAATTGATTGAATTATTTAAAGTTGACGTTTAAATCGCTTTGCCTTAAAACTGTCCCTGAAACCTTTTCAACTCCTTTCAAACAAATGTTGCACAAGGAAATTTTTTTATGCTTCTTAGCTATAAATGTTTCTCCAGATGGTCACTGATAGTGAAATGTGGACCATGCTCCCCACCCAGAAACACTCTGCCATCTAATTTTAGCAAAGAGTTCAACTAATACTGTAAGCGACGATCCAGACGCTGAGCAGCTGCATAGCTGAGAGCTGAAATACAGAACAGGACACTCACTGGTGGTTATGTTCCTCAGAGACACAGACACACTCATGTGAACTGTAAGACCCAGACAGGATGATGGTGACCCTGTCAGCGTACAGCTCAGCCTTCACCCTGTCCAAAGTTCACTTGGGCTGATCAGCCTTCTCTTATCTCACGTTTCATGAAGGCAAATCTCTTCTAGAAAACAGGAACATCGACCTGATGATGACAGAATCTGCTGTTTTTGCTCCACTTCCACTACACACGTCATGTTCGTGTTTTAGATTTTATTATTTTATCTAAAAACTGAAAATTAATGGAAAAACTGTCAAAACCTGTATATATAGTGGAGGAAACTTTGATACTCTGACAGTAGATCTATTCAATTCGGTTTATTTCTATAGCGCCAATTCACAACACATGTCATCTCAAGGCACTTTACAGTTCAACCAGATCATCCAATCAGATTGATTCAAAGTTTTCTATCTAAGGAAAACCAGTTGATTGCATTGAGTAATTCACTTTCAGGCAAGTCCTCACATTAAACATCCCTGTAGCGACAGTGGAGAGGAAAAACTCCCTTTTAAAAAGAGGAAACCTCCAGCAGAACCAGGCTCAGTGTGAGTGACCATCTGCTGAGGCCAACTGGGGTTCAAGGAGACAGAAGCAGAGATACAAAAAGCAGCTGTAAAAGGCGTCCCCGTCCAGGAAACACAGAGACAGGCAGACGAGCTCCAAGCCAGCTCCCATGTCAGAGGACGAAGAAAGCACATCCAGCCAGTCACAGTCAGAGAAACAGGACTACACTGAAAAACAGGCTGATCTAGAACGTCTATAAACAAAGGTGTTGATGGCAGCAGCACAGCTGATATTTCTCTCCAGGATGGAGTCACAGCCAAACAGGAACAGACTAGATGAAGCTACTATGAGAAAAAGCAGAGAGAGCAGAATGTTAGAGATTGAACTAACAGATTCTGCAGAGTGGGAGAATAGAGATAGAATGAAGCAGAATGATGAAAAGGGGTCCCTATGTCCTCCAGCAGTCTAAGCCTATAGCAGCATAACTATAGAGATAGCTCAGGATCACTTCACTTCAAAAAGTGAACTAAGAGTAAGAAAACATTTACTTTCAATAAGTCGATATTACTTGATTTGAGCAGGTATGAAAAAATTATCTACTGATGAAATAAGATTTTACGCTTAAAATAAGTTAAAAGCACCTCCTCTATCCTATTTAAAGTTCAGTTCCTTGTAAAAACCTGATAGACAATAATTTAAATTTGTGTTTCTGCCTGAGAATGACTTTTTTCCCCTTTATATGATAATTAGATACGATGCATTTTCATCGTTTAAACAGCCATCCCTGCATCCTCTGCCTCACCACACTAATGTCTGAGGTTTTCCATCTTTTAAGCTTTGTAATATTACAAGTTTTACACTTTTCTAGATCCAGAAACTTTCCTCAAACCCTAAACAGGAAACAGGGACAAACAGAATCTACAGGATTTTTTTATAATCAGTGCAAATCCTGATAATTCAGAGCAGGTCAATGTTCACATCTGACTGAATAAATGAATGAATAATCTTCCTGCTGGACTTTGCAGATGTCTCCCAGTCTGTGAAGATCCCAGTCCTCGTCGGTTCAGGAGTGACGTATGACAACGTTGAACGTTTCCTCGCCGCCGATGGAATGATCGTTGGATCTCATTTCAAGCACAGCGGCCACTGGGCCAACGCCCTGGATCCAGACAGGGTGAAGAGGTTCATGGCAAAGATGCGTCTCCTTCGAAAGGAGCAGAGATAGTTTCCTGTAATCAGGCAGTAGCTGCTGCTGTTTGAGATAAAGGCCGATTGGATCACTTCCAGTCTGCTTCTATTCTAGTCTGATCAGACCACAGCGCCTTCTTCCCCGTGGTTTTTGTTTCTCCTAAATAGCTTCTGGATAACTAAACATGAGATTTCTATGAACCCTCCACAAGGTTTATGGTTTTTCTATTCTTCTATGGAGCTAAAGTAAGACCATAAAGAGTTTCCAAAAACAAATTTTAAGAGAAAAATGAAAGGTAAAAAGATACATTTTTGAAACAAAAAAAAAATCCTCCGAAGCTTAAAATGGAAAAAAATAATAATAATAACAATAAATAATAAAACTGAAACTTCAATAAAAAAGAAACTGAAAAAATATAACTATATAATAAAAAGGAAAGTCAGAAATTATTTGACAGTTAAAATAAAAAAGTAGAATAAGATGTGAAAATTAAAATAAAAGATGGAATTGTCATTTTTAAAGTAAAAAAAGAAACCAATGGAAATGGTTGGAAATTTAAATAAAACAGAAACTGAAAAAAAATATTTAGAAAATTAGAAAAAAATTAGAAAACTTTGACAATCAAATAAAAGAAACTAAAAAAATATTAAAAGAGTTAAATAAAATAAACGGAAAAAGGAATTCAAACCTAAAACAGAATATTTTGTCCAGTCACCAAAGCCACCAGTAATCGTTCCACCCTGTCATCTAAGCCCCGCCCCCACACTGAGGTATCAGATGTTTAAAACTGTAAGAAACACCTGAAAATAAAATGTGAATCTGAAAAGTAGTTTTAAACATTTCTTTTTATTTACATATATACACATTTTAATTTATTTTGGTTTTCATTTTTAAATTGATCAAGTTTCTAAACTTTTGTTTTAAGTTTCAAATCTTTTTAGTTTCAAAATACTTTTCAGTTTATAAAAATGTTTTTGAACAAACTTTATGGCCCTAATGTAGCTCCATAGCCTGCAGGTTAGTTACCATGGGCCATTTGCTCTCATCATGCACACATGTGATCAGGTTTTTATAACAATAATAGACCAGGAGTTGAAAAGTATAAAAGCATTTATTCCTTTAAATGATCTTTCTTTTATGAAAATTTCACAGTTTAATACAAACACAACACAGCAAGCGAGAACCACACACTGCAAACATGAGGGATCAGAAACAGGTTTTACCTAGTTACAGTGTAAAAGCAACAGCTCAGATGATACACACACAATAAATCCATAATCACACGGGTCAAAAAACATGGCTGCTGTAACATTAATAAAAAGATTAGCTCTGACTGCATTTTTTGGAGGCTGAGGGCCCTCTCACACATTGAGTATTTAGTCAGCGTATGCCTGACATCGAAAAATCTCCTAAAACGCTGGCATACGCTGAACTTTCTATGTATTTTTTCAATTTTGGGCGTATAGATAGAGTATCCATAATGAGTCCAGAGCGTATGTTCAATGACAGCCTAACTTATGCATAACGCACGGCAGCGTAATGTCCATTAACTGACACAAGCCAGTGTCCTGAGGGGGCAGCAAATCAACTGGAGGCGCCCAGTCTACATAAAAATATGTCTTTGATCGCAGTATTAACATAGCTGCTGTTTACCAGCCGCCAAAAGAAAAAAAGAAAACGAAAGAAAGAAGGTTTGCAGTGGGAGCAAATTCAGCATCATGTCTTCTAGGGGTGGAACGGTTCACAAAATCCACGGTTCGGTTTGGTTTATGGTTTCGTGGTCACGGTTTTCGGTTTGGTATATGTTGATTGTTAGCCTGACATGTTGGTCGTGTTGCTGTTAGCATAAACAATACGTGTTGCACAATGCTTGCACACTGTTGCACTTTTATCCACAACTTTCTTTCCGCCGTCATCGTAGGTCACTCTAAATGCAAGGTGGTCCCATACAGCAGACCTATAAAGTGCTGCTGGCGCGTCTTCCAACGCCTGTTCTTTCCCACACAATTCTCCACAACAACTGATTTTTTTCTGCTACACCCGGCTACGCTGCTTCGCTTCTTCTTCTTCTTGTTTACTACTGGTGTATGGCTTTGGTCGCAGTACCGCCACCTTCTGCTCTGGAGTGTAAATGCTTCGCCTATGAGAAAAAGGAGCAGCGCATGAACTGAACGCAACACACGCGAACCGAACCGAGACAGTCGAACCGAACGATTCGGACGGTTTTCATAAACCGTTCCATCCCTAATGTCTTCTAGGAAATTTGTTGGCCGTGGGCGTCAACGCCGGGAGGATCCATCACACTGACCTTCTCGATCACCCTATGATAGGGAGGAAGTCTGGAGGAGAGGTTACTCATAGGTTTTGATAAGCTAGAAACCACGACTTATGAGTAACTTACACTTGATGTTAACGATCAGCTAACTTAACTGTAACCTATGCCCACGTATGGCACACGCTGGCATACGTCTCGGCGTACTCGCTGTATGTCGACGTACCCCAGCGTACGTCAGCGTGCTCATAACTTATACAAAACATATCCACGGATTCCAACGTTTTTGCCAGATTTTCCCATATCAGGCATACCCTGGTCTAAATCATAAAGGTGTGACAGAGGCATGAGGTTGAAGGCTTTGAAGGCCCTGCTGTGGAGTCAGGATGAAGGTAGAACAGAGAACCTGAGTGGATGAGTGCTGGTAGACGGTGCTGATCACTGGGCTCATGCTCGAACCTTGATCCCTGCGTTCAGTAGTTGAACAGGCGTGGGGAGGGGCACCTTAAACCGCCGTACCTCCTGTCCTTTGCTGAGAACCGTGTCTTAGCCAGGTTCTGCCTGCAGAGGGTGCTGCGACTCAGCTTCTTCCTGTCCGCCAGGCTCCTGGACCTGTGGGCTGCCAGCAGCTGCACGCCGCAGGGCAGAGGACTCCCCCAGGCGGCGAGACGCCAGGAAACGTGTCGCCGGACAGCAACAGGCCTACAGGGATGAAGATCAGATCAAAAAGGTTTCACAAGAACCTGGAGATTTGGTTTTAACCAGGTTGACGCGCGTCAATGAGCTGTTCGCACTGCCACTAAAAGCAGATTGTTCCCGGGTTTAAAGGTTTTTTTCGGCCAATGGGAGAGGGGTAGAAGAGACATTTGGAACGACTCCCACCTGGCTCCTCTATTGCATATCTGCATTTTATTTGTGGTAATGTACGTTAATTAGGACATTTCTCAGCCTGTGCAGCCTAATATTTGAGTTGGCTGCACCTGCAACTATATAAAGACATTATCCATTAAATAGTCCTGATAGTTTATATAATTCAAACCCAGTAGATCTTAAAGGTTCTCCATGTTCCTGCCGTATTTCTGACGGATGAAGATTATTGTATTACAGGAGAAGCATCAATAACTGTTTAGATATGTTGCGTGAATAAATATCTGTCTTAAAATTATCAGAGGATGACTATGGTGGGTATAAATGTGTGTGTGTTTGTGTCTCTATCTATTTTAGATCTATTTGCATGTAGTGAACTATTCAGAATAAATTCTAAACTAGACCTAAATATAACATCTATTTCCCCATCTTTGAATAAACCTGTAAGTAGGAAAATTCTGATGCATTTAAATACTTGAGTAGTGTTGAAACGCCCAGATGATTTGATTTTACTGTGACATGAGGTGTGACATAACCAAGCCCTTGCTTGCAGTTGGGACATAACTGGGGTGAACTCAAAACACTTCTCAGCGACACTTCTGCTTCAACAACGTCGATGCTGGATTGAGCAGACTGAATCACGCTAACATCACTAGCAGGAGTTTACCTAGAGGCTTCCTCCTCCTCTTCATCAGAGGGTAGGTCCTCCCCTCCCTCTGCTCCTCCCATCCTGCATCTTGTCTGGTAGACAGACATGCTGGGGTGCTCGATCAGCAAGTTCTCCAGAGGGTCCGCATCAGGGGCCGACGTGGCTCCGTCCCCTGTTTCAGGTCAAACATTCGAACCATCATCACCAAAAACCAGAACAAGAGCAGAACATCAGCCTAAGGTGGTTCCATTTACTACATGGGATGTCCACAATGACCCAGTCCTCCTCCTCAGACTCCAGGAGCTCCAACTCCGTGTCCCTCACCGCTCCAGAGTCGACTGCAGCATTACCGAGCAGAGAGAGAAGCTTTCCGAACATCCTGGGAGTTTCTTTTGCAACCTGTGATCTAGAAACAGAACCACCATCAGAACGTCCACCTGGTCCACCTTAAGGAGGTTTTTGGGAAAGAGGGCGCTGCTGCCATCAACACCTTGGTTTATAGATGGAGATCGGCCTGTTTTTCAGTGTAGTCCTGTTTCTCTGACTGTGACTGGCTGGATGTGCTCTCTTCACCCTCTAACATGGGGGCTGTGTATTTCATGGACACGGCCATCTGTGGAGCTGGTTTACAGTTGCCTTTTGTATCTCTGCTTTTGTCTCATTGAACCCCAGTCGGTCTCAGCAGATGGCCGCTCACACTGAGCCTGGTTCTGTTGGAGGTTCCTTCCTGTTAAAAGGGAGATTTTTCTCTGCACTGTCACTATAAGCATGCTTTGTGTGAGTGATTGTATTTGAGTCAATGATTAGATTAAATCAGCTGGTTTTCCTTAGATAGAAAACTTTGAATCAATCTGACTGTATGATCTGGTTGAACTGTAAAGTGCATTGAAATAACATGGGTTGTGAATTGTTGCAATAGAAATAAACAGAATTGAATTAAATGTGTAATTAATACATGTATATCATCAATTTAGGACTTTTTGCACATCTGTATTATTATGCTCCATTAACACATACATTTTATTGTGATGGATTTGTATAATATGTTATATAACATGATTTATAGATTTCATTGACTTCATAATGACAATGCATTGTGATGTGCCTGTGTTTTTATTATAAGTTAAATCAATCTACTTATGTTATGAAAATGAGAACATAACCAAAGTTTGATGCTGTAGAGCACGTATTGTTTACATTGTAACCGGTCTAACTAGGGAGTACCAATATGGCGACTGATGGCTTTATTTTAACCCCGTTTAACCAACAGGCAATCCAGTGAGTAAATAGAGATCAGTGGGTTTGAATCAGTCCACGTCTTGCCTCACCTACAGATATTTCGCTGCGCCGCACAGCGCAATCTTTGGCTGTGCAGAGGTAGCCCATTTTTTCTCATTTCTTTAGGTCTTGTTTTTTAAAATCGATACTAGGAACTGAAAAATGTATGATTTATCGGCTAGTCGACAATCATGATATATACACACACATTTGACAGGTTTGGTTTCTTCTTCTCTCATCAACAGCTTGTTGAAAAGTTTGTTATTCATTGTAAAAAGCATGCAAAGTTAAAATGTCCTGGTTAATATTCTGATGCGAAATGAATCTAATAATTGAATATGAATACAAGTGAGAAAAACTTTTCAAAAGTAAATATTTCTTTGCATATTTTGCTTCTTGGTTTGTGAATGGTGTAGGATAGGATCCCTGCAGTAACCAGCAGCCGCTCCCTTTACACCAGATCAGCTGGCTTCATGTTCCACCAGCTGAGAATGCAGCAAGATGGAAATACTCTGAATAGAAACACAGTGACGGTCATTATAACCTGCAGGCTCTAAGGTTTGAAGTATCTGCAGTGTTGGTCTGATTCATATGATCTGTTTATCTTCTAAGATGACGTCCAGTTCAGATTTATTTGCGGTTTTACTCTCAGTTCAACTGATTTAAGGTGGAAATGAGGAATTTAGGAAAGGGTTAGGTCAGGGGTAACCAATTAAAAATCAGCGGGGTCCGAATAAAGAACATCATCAACTGGTAAAGGTCGGGAGACATTTTTAATTATAATCTGTTTCTTTAAACAGAATTTAAGACTGAAATGAAATGAGGTTTTTATGCATCCATGTTATACATTGACTTTTAAAATAATAAATATATATATATATATATATATATATATATATATATATATATATATATATATATATATATATATATATATATATGCATAAGATAACAAAAAAAAACACAGATTTTAAGACGGAATAAAAAAAAAAAATAGAAATTTTCTAAATTTTGGGACAATATCATCTGATAAAGAGTACATTTATATACATGTTTAAGCCAGAATGATTTGACATTTAAATATGACTTTAAATTAACCTTTAATTGAATATGGTTTCCATGGTGATCTAGAACTGAAGCAAGATTGGTCGGAAACGTTCAAAACAGCAAAATTATTGCACAATATGCTTATACTGATCTCATTCCATTTCATCCGATTAAAGGACAGTTTTTAATCAAATTCAATTTAGTTTATTTCTATACCGCCAATTCACAACACATGTCATCTCAAGGCACTTTACAGTTCAACCAGATCATCCAGTCAGATTGATTCAAAGTTTTCTATCTAAGGAAAACCAGTTGATGGCATCGACTCATTGACTGGAAGGCAATCCCTCACACTAAGCATGCTTGTAGCGACAGTGGAGAGGAAAAACTCCCTTTGAACAGGAAGAAACCTCCAACGGAACCAGGCTCAGAGTGAGCGGCCATCTGCTGAGGCCGACTGGGGTTCAAGGAGACAGAAGCAGACATAGAAAAAGAAGCAGAGATACAAAAGGCAGCTGTAAACCAGCTCTACAGATGGCCGTGTCCAGCTGTAAAAGACGGCCCCATCCAGGAAACACACAGCCAGGCAGACGAGCTCTATGCCAGCTCCCATTTCAGAGGATGAAGAGAGCACATCCAGCCGGTCACAGACAGAGAAACAGGACTACACTGAAAAACAGGCCGACCTCCAACATCTTGATGGCAGCGGCACAGCTGATATTTGTGAGGCATCATTTATTAAAAGATCCGTTCAAAGTGACTTTGATCAGTTTTAGTTTCTGAGGGTAAATAGAGGCAATCAGCTGCAGTCCTGATCCACCAGAACCAGAACCCAAACTGACCCACTGGGTCTGAGATTCGCAGCCAGATGATGATTAAAAGGAGAACAAGAGGATAACAAATCAAATAAAACAGCTTCAGCTGGAAACCAGTTTCAACTTAATGCCTGCAGCCCCTCACCCACCCTGATTTTCACCTCTGAGCATAAATCAAGGTGAGCGATCAAAGTCAGCCCGTTAACCAAACAAAAACCAAAGCAGCCTCATTCCCACAGTCTGGTCTCTGCTTTTTACTTACTTTCCCAGAAAAATGTTTTCCTTTCAGTCAAAATCCAGCCGCTGTCTTGTTTTTTATTTTCTTCCGACTTTGTTGTGATCAAAAAGTTGTTTATCAGCGAGTTGGGCGGTGACGCGGCTAGGAGCGTCATCGAGTCTCAGCCAATCAACAGAGCCGATACCGCCTCAAACTTTCCTTTCAAAACATGGAGGCAGATTAATTTATGTTATCTTTAAATATATATATTTATATCAGAGAATGGGTACGTTTTTAAAATTCACAACTTTTTAAACCCAATCACTTAAACGCAGCCGCGCATCTTGCGGTGTTTCGCCTCCTCTGCAGATCATCTGCGGCGGCGCGCGGATATGGAGCAGACCCAGGCGCTTTAAAGCTGCTTCTATGGAGGATCAGTTAAAAGATTAATCTGTGAAGTCCAGCAGTCTTTATTATGATTATGAGTATAGTTTAATATTTATTTCTTTAGTTTGATGGAAGTTAAATGTAAGCAAACTAAGGGCATATTGAGGCGCCTGCTTTGGATAAACCAGTAAAAAAAAACAAAAAACATATTTATTTCTTTTCTATAGGAGCAGAACCGAGGTCAGATCTAAGAGAACTGATCGGATTTAGACTCTTTGATATTTAATGTTGTTCTGCTTGTTACAGAAAATTATTCCTTTTTACAAATACTGTATTTTAAATTTGATTTTGAACTTTTAGGCAGCAAAAACCGACGAAAAACAGATGCAGGAAGATGGAAACCTTTCATTTTCATTCTTTGTATTTATTTTAAATAATAAATAAATGAAAATGCAATGACATAAGATAGTTACTAATATGGTGTACATAAGATAATATATCCATGTAATAAAGTGCAATAATCCATCCCCCCCCCACCAGTTTTCTAGATGTTGGAATCAAAACGGAAGAGGATTGGGCCACTGGAAAAAAAAAAAAAAAAGTTAACTGATTTTTAAATATCAGTTTCGCTTAATAAAGGAAAAAAGTCAGAATTCTGACCTTTTCCTTACATTATGTTGAAATAAATAGTTAAAATCAGGTAACTTTTTTATTTCTTCAGTGGCCCTAATCCTCTTCCGTAAATCAGATATTTTTACAAGAAACTCCAGAAAAGATGTTGATGTTCGATTAAGTTTAGATTTTTTTGTCTTATTTTTATCTTTTATCCATCATCCGAACAGTAAATTTATACAAATACTAAATCCCACCCACACAGGCCGATAATCCCCTTGCCGGGTGAGAAATGGAGCGTACCCATCGTGACGTACAGGAAGTGCCAGAGGAAGCCGATATTGAGGAGGGCAGGCATCAGGAATCATCGGACTGACCGGAGTTCTGCTGGTTTGGACTCACTGGCAGCGGAACCGAGGCGTTCGGACCAGAGGAAGGTAATAATGGGACCGGACCTGCAGGTGGTTCTGTTCGGCTCAGAGCGGCTTTAGTTTCACTTTCAGTCCAGAAAAACAAAGCAGCTCCAGGGACCCAGTTGGAAATACATCCGACCGAACCTGCTGTTAAACGGTCCCTGGTTCTGGGTTCGGCCCTAAAAAATAAATTACACATTTTTTTCTCTTAATTACTATAAATGTAGTTTTTTTTTTTCTAACTGATGTAAATTCGGACAATTTTTTGTTTTTCTCTCTGCTTAGTTCCAGCAAACACCTGACCACTCTTCTCCCTCCTCCGTGCTTTAGCGCAGGGATGGCGCCGCGTATTGATGACGTCATGCGGCTGTGCTGTGAGCTGTCGGCTCATGATCAGATCAAAGTGGCGGTGAAAAGCTCGGCCAAAGGAGCGGCCGTGGCGGGGGGCACCGCGTTTGTCGGGGGGCTGCTGGCTGGACCTGCAGGGATCGCTGTCGGTAAGAAGCTGGAGGCGGCGAGCTGAGGGGCCCCGCAGGAGCCCTGAGGGGCCTGGAACAGGGGACATTTATGGAGTGAATTATGTTTCATTATTGATGCTAATAACAGGTTTTTTAAAAGAAAATTTAGAAGAAAAATTTTAATCCAGGAACTGAAAACTGAGAATAACTTTCCTTCTTTCTTAGATTTTAATTTTATATATTGTTTCTCATAATTACAAGATACTGATCTTGTAATTATGAGGTAAGCTTTCTGATTTTTTTCTTTTGGTCAATGCAATTGCTCTTTAGACCAATAGAAACCGTCTTCCCTCCTCATTCCAGTGGAAACACGCCCCCAGAAGTGTAGAGAATGTGATGGTAAAAAAAAAAGCAGTTTTATAAGAATGCAATAAGTAAAATTCAATTTGAAAACCAGAAATTAAACAAAACATAAAAGTAATAATATGTTCTTTGCATTTTTGCAAGTTACCTCCAATAAACTGTTTCCTTTGCCTTAAATGATAATGGAACACAATTGACTCCATAAATATTAATCTGATTCAGTTAAGATAGAAAGCTATAATTATCTCTTTTTGTGTGAATTTAAGCTTCAATCTCGAAAAAAGATTTAGAGTTTTAATCAAAAACTGACATAAAGCGAAAACTGTCTATCTGTGTTTGGTTCATTTTAATGGTTTAATGTTAGAAAACAGGAAAATAAACTTTGGTTAGTGATGTCAGACACACCTGGATTAATCAGTTCCTCCTGGAGAAAAATACAGGAAACAAATGAGCGGATTTACATTCAGGAAGTAGTGGAGCTGTGCATAGAGACCATTATTAGATATTTACATAAAGGTACTAAAAATAAAACAAACCCAGCAAACAACCCCATGTTTTATTATTTTAAAACATCAAAAAAAAAAGAAAAAAATCAAATAATAAAACAGAAATATTCAGATTTTCAGATTCACATAAATATTTATTCCTTTATCTCTTTAGTCTGTTTATTTCACACAGAGAAAAGAACCATAAAATTCTTAATTCTTGTTAATATTTGTTCAGTTTTTCATCATTATCTGAGCTAAAAAAAAACAAGTGTAATTTTGATTTTCTCTTAAGAGCAATGTGACTTTCTGACCTTTGACCTCTGATTAAGCTTCTTCATGATAATCTGATTATCGGCTGAGGTATGAAATGACCTGATCAGGGAGAAAATAATGATTTATTGATATGAAGACGTGCAGATTAAATCCAGATTATGTCATGTTTCCTTGCAAAAGGAAAAGTTTATTTCCCGTCTAAACAGGTCAATGAGATAAACGGCAAATCAAATTATTTACATTTAAAATGGGAAAAAATTAAAACTCAATGATCTTATTACATTTATAATATCTCATGATCTTAAAGGAATAGTACCCCCAAAACATGATTAGCCTTCATTTTCTACTCACCCCCATGCTGAACAACACTCTGGAGTACTTTTTTGATATCTCAAATGCATCTGGAGATCTGGGAGGCTTCTTGCTGTCTGCTGACATTCAAATAATGGAGGTCTATGGCGCCCGAGAGAGAAAGGTCCACAAAAGTCCACAAAAACGTGTCAATATTCCTCCATACTGCTCGTCCAATGTAATCCAAGTGTCCTGAGTGGGTAGCGTCCATAATTTACTCGAAACGAAGTCATTTAGAACGTTTTAGAGCATAAACAGTAGTGTATAGGATTTCCTAATAGCGCCCCCATGCGCGCTCACGATTCTACGGAAACCGCGGCAGACCAAACCGGAAGAAAGTGCGCATTCAGCGTCTGCTCTGCCGATAATGCAAGCGTAGAAGAAGAAATGTGCTGTTTACCTGTGCAAAGAAAGAAACAACGAAAGAAAAATGTCTGAGGACTTCAGTGTTGAGGAAGAGCATGAGTTCTTTGCCGAGCCTTTTCTCTATGAACCAGAATACACAGATGACGAACTTAGAGACATGGATGAGGCAGCCGCAGCTCAAGCTGAGCCGCAAACACCGTTGTGCTACAGACGTAGAGCGTCAGAAACATGGTGGTGTAAATGTGGAAATTGTCAAGCAATGCCAACAGAAGAGGAGAGCATTTGCTGTGTGGACTGGGACTTGTTGATGCCACCACTGGAGGATCTAAATATCTCCACTGATGAGACCGAGAGCACTAGCCAAAGACTTTGTGTCACCCAAAACACGGATTATCCACCATTACTGACCCGTGGCGTTCTGGAGATGTTTTTCCATGTGCCCAAAATCAATTGGAAAAAGAGGCCAAGACCCGCAGGACCAAACAACACGCTCTCTGCATAGTAAGTTTTATGCAACAGGCCTATGGCTTGCTAATAATATTATTATATATATCATATATATCTGATATATATATATGATATATATATATATATATATGATATATATCATATATATATATATATATATATATATATATATGATATATATATATATATATATTAGGGCTGCAACAACGAATCGATAAAATCGATAAAAATCGACTTTTAAAATCGTTGGCAACGAATTTCATCATCGATTAGTTGTGTCGCGCGATTATTGCGTCATCCGCTGCGCCGTCATCACTGCCTCTTGACTGAAAGAGGAAGGAAAAAAAATACGGCAGAGCGAGTCAGCGCCGCAGGAGCAGTGTTGCCAACTCCGCGACTTTTCAGACCCCTCCAGCGACTATTTTTCAAAAAAGCGACTAGCGACAAATCTGGCGACTTTTTTCGGTGTCACTGGTGGCTTTTGGAGACTCTTACGTGAAAGCATGTATCATTCCTACTCTGCCGTGGGGCGCCTCCCCCATCCCAACCGCGTTTTCCCGCAGGAGTCCCTCTCAGTCAGAGCCTCAGCGTCCAGACTGCAAATGAAGCGCGCATGCACCGGGATTGACGGCGCAAATTGATCACAATAATTAAAATAGCCTGCGCTTTGTAAAGTGAAAAAAGTGATAACATGCAACTTTTTTCAAAAGAAATTAACATGGCACGGAACCACCATGTTTGTTTGGTTTTAAAGTGGGGAAACGTTACGTTAGTTTCTCAGGTAGCTCATCTGATGCTTTCCTTATCTTGTTAGTAGGTTACAGACAGTGATAAGGTTGGCTACTTATTTTACTTTAAATTTCATTTGAACTAGCTTAAGCAGCGTTTACATTTACTTTATAAATAAATTAACTTGCAAATTATGAGGGCAAGACTTTTAAAGTTTAAATCTGGCAAAGATAAAGTAAAGATGATCCTGCAATTTATAGAAGTAAAGCAGAATAAAATCCAGCAAGATCAGTAATATGTCAATTAATTATATGCCACATTCCCATGTAAATATCTGTCTTTGGAGGATGTGTTTTTTAGCACCCCTAGTTCTCTCATTTTTATTCCAAATACAATTTATAATTTGAATCACAGGGCTATTTTTATCTCTATGGTTCAGTATTTTCTCAAGTAGCAACTTTAACTGCTGTACTTTCCTGTCTTAAAAGGCAGAACTCTTCTAGTCTAAAAAAAACTCATTTGTTGAAATGGGGGGGCCTATTGTTTGAACCCCTTAGAGGCTTTTAAAACAAAAATGTCTTTTTTTGCGCTTTATGAAACAAAGTACCCTATATTTTGTGGATGTACATCTACATTTCTCATGTAAGTTTGCGTAGTTTTAACACAAACATTTATTTTTCATATTGCACCAGTACAGTTAATGAGCAACCTGTACTTGTGTGCTTGTTCGTTCTGTCTATAATGTTTATTTTGGAATAAAGAGGTTAATATAAAAAATATTTTTTGTCCGATTCATCGATTAATCGAAAAAATAATCGTCCGATTCATCGATTTTTAAAATAATCGTTAGTTGCAGCCCTAATATATATATATATTATATATATCATATATATATATATGATATATATATGATACATATATATATATATATATCATATATATATATGATATATATATATATATATATATATATATATATATATATATATATATATATATATATATATGATATATATGATATATATATATAATATATATATATATAATATATATATATATATAATGTTAATGGTACTCACTGTGCAGTTTTTTGTATGTGATGCTAGTACTAAAGTCTGTTTACTCAGCATCTTACCCAGGTTGTGTGCTGGATGAGATACTGCTTTCTTTTTCACTTGTATTGCTAAAATAATGGCTCCATTTTACCCCTCCCCCCTCCCCCAGTCAGTACAGGTTGGTGGCCTACCGTGTGGTACTCGAGTGGATTCTGAAAGGCGAGAGACTTGGCAAAGACAGCAGAAGAGTTTTAACTGGCTGTATTGTTACAAGCATCCGTTCCAGCTACCCTTCACCAGATGGAGTGTATAGTGGTTTCAAGGAGGCAGAGGCAGCTTTTGAACAGTTGTAAAGACTATAAACAAATCCTAAGAGACTCTTCCATATTAATTTGTACTACTTCATTATATTTCATATTTTTTCCCAAATCACAAACCTATACTGCCTCATTATAGATAACATTTCAGAATTTATGTAGCCGATAACTGTAACCTTTCCTGGACTATTGTGTTGTTTTGGAAATAAACAAAATGACTTTGGACGGTAAGAAAGATGTAACTCTGTTCCTTTGATTAAATATTTTTTATTCTAGACCTAAGTGTGAAATGCAGACAAACCAACCACAGACACATGCCATTTTATTTAAAACTGTCATGTCATAACTATATTAAGTAAACCCCTTATCAGACTCTGTATCCCAGAATTTTGAAAAAAAAAAAAGGTTAAAATTACATGCCACCAGCTAGACTTTTTATTTGCATAAGTACAAATATAAAAAGGCAAGAGTAAAAATACTGCACCACTCAGACTAACTGCTGTATCGGGAAGTATGTTTTTGTATGGCTTCCTCTTTGGCAGGTTTTGGTTTCTGAGCAATGTTTTCTGGTATGGGAGGGGTAGAAACATATGACTGGGGGTCTTTGATCTTGATGTTGGGGTCCAGGCGTCTCCGCACAACTTGCACCACCAGATTTTGCCGGAATGTTTGTGTTGTTGGAACATAGATCTTTTTGGCGACCCATTCTTTTGTTTGTTTTGGGTAAACCACATTGAACCGTGCTTGTCCTAAAAAACAAAGAAGAAAATGTAAGACAGAGGAAACATTAATGAAATAACATAGCTATTATAAAGCATTCAAAAAAGTTCGGTTTTAGGTTTCAAAAAAGGAACCAAGAAATTGTATCCAAATAATTAGGAATCTGGTACTTGTAATTTTGTGGTGGTGAGAATTAGGACCATAAAGTACCATATTTGTTATGCAGATCTTAGTGCAGCAGCTCACTAAACAGGTGCGGTTCCCATTGAAGGTTAAATGTAATGTTTGCTGTTTTTTTCAATACAGCTCATTTTGAGGACATAAATGAGTATATGACACTGAGCAAAGCGCACAAGGTTAGGTTTTTTGGTTTTGAAGATACTTTCTTGTTACCTGTGTTGGTGTAGGCCTGTTCACGCTGAACATTTTCATTGTGGTCCATAACGGCAAGCTGGGTGCGAGCTTTCATTGTTGAGTAGTGGAAGTGCAGTCTCTTCTCTGTGTATTTCAGCATAGATGCATGGAATACTTCAAGCTTCCCTGAGAAAAAATAATAATGACAAGTTCACTAAATATTTAAAATTTTGAATTTCTCATAATTATTGTGCTTTCCTCGTTATATTTACCAGTATGTTTGAAAAGGGCCATTTGCCTAAGGTCTTTCATGAGTCCTTTGTCCAGGGCAATAGCTGTCAGGGCTTTGAAAGCGTAAGAGTCTCTCCTTAACCACCTCTTTCGCCTCTGTTCCTCTGACGTAAGGTCAGCATGCACACATTTAATCTCCTGTCCATCTTCCTCCCAGCGGTGCACACCACAGATGTGATGAAGTAGTGCTTTCCACTTCCTTATCAAATCCTGAGGATATTAGAAAATTACAATTCAGTATCAAAGAGAGTAAAAGGATTGTGTCAAAGACTATCAGTTATTATTATCATAACTTTATGTTGCCTAAATGTGAAGAATGTGATGTTACTCACATCAGGGTCACCTCCACAAGTGGAACAGGCGTACCACAAGTGATTGCAGATGGATTTTATCCATGGTTGCAGGTCTCGGTTGTCCTTTTTGTTGGATGCTGACAGCAATTTTTTCATGAGCCCTACCAAAAACAGAACAATCGTCAATGAGTCTCAAGCAAGCATAAAATATGGCAACTGGAGTAAACGTGTGAGTAGAAGATGTTTTGTCTCTCATCCAAGAAACTTATTCCTTTATAAAATACTCTGGTTGGGGAGTACAAGAAATGTATCCACCAGGTGTATGGTGGCAACGTCACTGAGGTGGCACTAAACGTTAGACAGGACATGTTGTTCATACAGGTGGATCAAAGAGTTTGGGAAGGATCAAGGGAACCAGGTGTTAGAGACAATATTGCTTTGTTGTTTCGAAAAAAAGAAAGGAGTGTGAGCTTTTTAAAATATTTAATTTCCCTTCTGGGATAAATAAAGTATTTTTCATTTAATTTAATTTTAACGACAATGGGGAGCTCAGGGCTCAGAGAGTGTAGGTGATTGGAGATGTACAGTCCAAACAGACTGCACTTCTGCACATGGGTGACGTCAACATAGTCTTGGTGGGTATGAAGTACAAGGTGGGAGCAGGTAATAGAGGAGTGTGGGATCACAATGGGGCTGTGTATAACCTAGGCAGGTGCCAGCACTTTGGCAAGGGAGGGGTAAATTATGTAAAAGTTTATGTGGCTGTACAAGGGCTATCCAAAGTATATTGTAAAAACATTTTCCTCATTATAGTAATTCCTTTACCATTGTACATTTACAAATTACAATTTGTCAGCTTACCCTTGACAACATGCCAGATGTCAAACTCATGGTGGATTTCCGGATACTCTTCGCGCATAATTTTTCGTATAGATGGTGATCGGTCAGTGGTTACCACCTCCACTTCAAGACCTTGCTCAAGGAGATAATCAAGTCCTCTCCTGAACCCCACTGGCTCCATGGCAGCAGAGCTGGATGCCTCTGTCACCTGTACCACAAAACAAAAAATTAATGTTTAAAATCATTTTCATACATCTTTGATGGGACAGTGCTTGTCATAATCCGATAGCAACAATGATTGTGTAATATGTTCCACATAATACACATACATTTATTTACTTCTTTAATTTCATTCCGCACATGATGAAAATGAGAAACATTACCCCCAAAAAAAGGAAGAAAAACAATATAATAAATGCACCAAAATTGATAATAAATACAATAGATAATAATAATATTTAAAAAAAAGATACAATAAAAAAAGAAAACTGAAAATAGATAAATATAGAAATTTAAAAAATAATGTAGGCTACATTTATCAAATTGAAGAACGAAAACGAGTGGGATTAAGTACAAAACCAAATTCAATCCCACCCTTTAAAAAAAAAACAACATATACATAGATCACAGTCTTCCGCTTCACAATTATTATTTGCCAATTAGAATGACCAAATATTAGCGTGTTTTAACATTTTAACGTTTTTTTAAAAAGTACCGGTAAAAATACAGATCATATACAAACGTGTAAGTTACATAAATGGTTTATAAAGTACATACCTCTGTCCTTAGTTGTGACACCATCGGCACAGCTGTACTCTTTAATAAAGCTCTTCCTTTACAGGTTCGGAAATCATCCGCTGAAAAGTGTTCACTACAGACACGGAGAGAATCCACGTTAGCTGTCCTTAGATCTTTTCGTAGAGCTATTAGCCACAGTTTTAGCCTTTCAGGGTCCCGAAGAGCTAATTTGTGGAAAGTTACGGAATGGGTTATTCCACACTTGCGCTTCATCTGATTGAAGCATCCAGGATAGGAACACACTCGAATCATCTTCTTAATTTCACGACTAAAATCACTAATCAACAACTTTTTCAAACTCTGAGAGAGACTGACCTCGTGCTCACCTGGCTCAGGGCAGAAAATAAACAGGTGAAAAGCGGAACTTCTTCTTCTACGCTTGCATTATCGGCAGAGCAGACGCTGAATGCGCACTTTCTTCCGGTTTGGTCTGCCGTGGTTTCCGTAGAATCGTGAGCGCGCATGGGGGCGCTATTAGGAAATCCTATACACTACTGTTTATGCTCTAAAACGTTCTAAATGACTTCGTTTCGAGTAAATTCTGGATGCTACCCACTCAGGACACTTGGATTACATTGGACGAGCAGTATGAGGAATATTGACACGTTTTTGTGGACTTTTGTGGACCTTTCTGTCTCGGGCGCCATAGACCTCCATTATTTGAATGTCAGCAGACAGCAAGAAGCCTCCCAGATCTCCAGATGCATTTGAGATATCAAAAAAGTACTCCAGAGTTTTGTTCAGCATGGGGGTGAGTAGAAAATGAAGGCTAATCATGTTTTGGGTGTACTATTCCTTTAAGTGAAGAAATCCTTTATTAGCTTATTTGCTTATTTATTGGCTCAAATTAAGGTTAAATTCACTGATTTTTAGAGATTTTTTTTAAGTTTTAGATCCCTTTTAGATTCTTATAATATTTTCTCTGAGATGATGAACTGCTTCAGCTGAATCCAGGCTTTGCTTTGGTAGGTTAAAGACCAAACGCTCAGCGCTGCCACCCGGAGGCAGCAGCAGCACATGGCATCAGGCCGATATTTAAAGCCATTAGATGGGCCCAGTCCCAAACGGCCCCCTAAGAACTGAACCAAAGACCCTCCGTTCCTGCAGAGGGTCCGCCACATTAAGGGCCGTCCCAAACCACGCAGTGGGTGGGCAGAGTGGATCGTTCAGCCCTTAGATAACGAGGCAGCATCAGTGCAGGCACTACAGAATGAGCAATCAAAGGGTTAATGATGTTTTATTATTGAATTAAGGCTTTAAATTTCCATTAATACCATTAACATGCTTTTTAATATCTATTTTCTTGTCATTAATTGCAACTATTGATATGAAGAAATGTGCGGATTAAATCCAGATTATGTCATGTTTCCTTGCAAAAGGAAAAGTTTATTTTCTGTTTTTATAATTGGTAAATGTTACAATTTCCTGATATAATTATTTACATTTAAAATAGGAAAAAAAAGAACTAAATTATCTTATTTTAAGTTCATTATATCAGCTTAAATTGAGGTTAAATTTATAGATTTTAAGAGAATTTTCAAACTTTTAGATCAATTTTTTTTATTGATTTTCTGAGTTTTACTCTGAGCGTCGCTCAGGAATCTGTGGGCAGTTTTCTTATGGAGATAATTTCTCTAAAATGTTAAACTTTAAATAACCATTAATACCATTAGCATTCTTTTTAAGATCTATTTTCTTGTCATCAATGGCAACTTATGTCAATTTCTAAACAGTATTTTACAGAATATACATTTTTCTTTTCTTTAGTTTAAACCTAGAAACTACAATAAAAATTGTGGCTTTTTTAGAAGTGATTATATTGATAAACAGCATCATGTCTCATTAATTATTTCATAAAGCTGGAACCAAAATGTCTCTTCTGACTCTTGATGCAGACCTCTGTGTTAAACTGCAGTCAAATGAACCAGTATTGATCAGCATTGAGCTCATTTCTAGAACCAGTGAACACATTTTAGCTGATGGAGGGAGAAACAGCTGACATCATCCAGCTGATGCATCGTCTGATGAACGAACACGGTGGCGGCTCAGCAGCTCAGATCCAGTCTGGTATTTAAAGGAATAGTCCAGTTATCATTTATTGAAAAGTATGTAATCATTTCATATTTAAATTACTTTCAGAAGTTTGTATTCTGAATATGACCGGACTTTTCCTTTAAAGCTGCTTAATCAGTTCAGCCATGAAAATCATTTGGAAAAGTTTCCCTATTTATCCAGACAGGAAGCGTCTCCCCCAGCAGGAGGCAGCGTTGTTTTCATGGCGGCAAAGAAAAGCATGAAATAAAAACCAGGGCAAGGGATTCAAATATATTAACCCTATAATGCCAAATGTATCATATTTGATACATACGGTTTCTGAAATGTTTTGCGTCTGACACCTTTTGCATAATTTAATGGTAAAAACTTTGCTTAAAATCCTATTGTACACAATCAGATATACCTGATAACAGCCAGTAGAAGACTACACAAAAAATAATTTTGACTTATTGCATAGTAATACATTTCTGTTTTTTCTTTTTACATATTTTGTTAAAAGGCCAAATAAGGACTTCAAACAAAAAGAAAGTAATTTTCAGTTTTGTTTTATTCTTGGATCGGGCTTTAAAGGGTTAAGAGAGCTGAATGAAGTGAAATATCTATTCAATGAGGTTTAATAACAATTCTATGCCTTATTAGGCCAATATACATTCATAGTTTAGGAATTTTACATAATTTTGACTTAATTTAAGTCAAAAATTACCAATTTGTTGTTATAAAATCTCAATTAGACCTCAATGAAAACTGGTAAGTTCAACTAAAAATTTCTTTTGAAAAAACCTTTAGCAGATGAAAACTGGGATCTTATCTTACTGAACCTTTATTGTTTTCAAATAATTAGTAAAACAGAATTTGTAAAGAAAAAAATGAAATAGATCCAAAGGACCTATCATTAATCATGTCTGTTCCAGCGCATATCATCATTAGAATTTCTTTGAATATTATGTCTTCAGCACAGGGGCCATAACAGGGGCCAGGCCATGATCTACAGGGGCACTGGCCCCCTTTGGCCCCTGTTTAGGGCTGCATGTGTCTTTGTTCATTAGAGGAGGAATTCCCACTTCAAGTTGTTTTCTTCCTTCATAAAGCTGTAACCAAGCGTCTGTGTCTCTGAGGTGGAGCGGTGGGGGGTCTGCTGGGCAGCTGGATGACCAGCGGTCAGTTCAGGCCTCTGCCTCAGATCCTGATGGAGCTTCCTCCGCAGCAGAGGCAGCAGCTCTACGCACAGATAAACGACTTGCTGGGCAGCCTGGACTGGATGGACGCAGCGGAGCTCGTCGCTCTGGTTATGGGGAACGCCACGCTGCAGCAGCAGGTCACCGCCGCCCTCATCAGCTACGTAACCAAGGAGCTCAGAGCAGAGGTCAGATACGGAGACTGAGCTTCATGGAGGAGGATGGACAACCTGGGAACAATTTTTTAAATTGAATTGATTCTGAATGTTTAACATTAGGGTGATGGGACCGAGGCTTTCCAGCCTGAAAGACTTTGAGCCAGAAAGCTACTCAGCCATTAGGAAGCATTTAATGAGTCTTATTTTTCTAAATAAACTGAAACATGTTTTAGTTTCTCTCTGAAATCTGAATAAAAACATTTTTTTTTAAATCTAGGAGTCTATTAATAATCCACAGATGGAGGCAGCCTGTCACTCCAGCCTTCATCCACTAGATGGCAGTAAAACTCAACACATGTTTGGAGTTTTTTCTTCAAAACTTTATTTTGAAAAAACCTCAGAGTGACATCATATCCAACCATCAGGTCCTGTCTCATTTCCAGCACATTTGTTTCCTTTATTTTCAGGCACATAAAGCGAGGAGTAAGGCACCTTTAATGAAGGAAGAACAAAACGCCTCTGATGAGTTTCACTCGTTAACAGGATCCTTTCAGCTCGTTAGGCTTTGAGCAAATGTTTGTCATCCTGAAAACAATTGAAAATAATTTTATTCTTTTTCCCTTTAAATCTTAATCAGTTCCCAGGTTTATATATTTCATCTTTTATTTCTGTTTTTATTACTGGCTTTAACAAATAAACGATTCACATGGATCGGTTGTTCATTTTTACAGTACGATCAGAAATCGGCACCGTCAGAAACTGAATTTAACTAAAACCTGTTTTCGAGTAATTTTTTTTAGTTAAATGTAATTTTTAGAATGAAATAGACTAAAAAAGGAATTATAAATCCAGAAAATGCAGACTCCATTGAATGAAATTCCTTTTCAAAGTGATTAATTTAATGTCAGATTCAGTGAGACGGTCCAGGTTCCTGTCGTACTTCCAGACGTTTCCATGACCATCACCTCATCACGTCATCTCAGTGGGCTGGAAAAACTTATTTAGCATCACAGGCAGTTTGACTGTGATGTTCTGCAACGTTCCGCCGTATCTGTTCTTGCACATAAAGCAGAGAGTTTATGGAGGGAATTTTATGCCAATATTGTTGCAGGAAAAAAAATATGTTTTGTGAATGAAAACAAAAAAACAATCCAGAAATCCGACACAACTCAATGTTCAGGATCTGCTGGAGCTGAGCTCCGGCCTCGATGAGCGGATCCACAGGCTTCACCTGAACGTTCAGCTGTGGAGCTGCTGGTCAAGGATTCTACCCACTGTCACACAGAGACCCGCTGCATTCCTCTCCATCCCATCCATCCATCTGTAATGAACTGGAGCTGGGATTGCCAGGATCCTCCCAACTGACTTTGATTGATTTTGTTATTAAATATCGTTGATGTGGTTTAGATATCTATTGATCTTCTGATCTACATGAGCGGCCGTGGTGTACCAGCACATTTATTAATATTTGTGAGCAATTAACGATTGTTATGGAGAAACATGAAAGCACTAAATCAACCTTGAAGTAAAGTCAATCGATACTGAACTGTGAATAAATGAACTGATATCTTTCTCCTTCCAGGTTTAACCCAAACTAATACAGAGATCAGCTTTTGGTTAAAGAGCAGAGCACCTATAAATGTGTGTGTATAGTATGCCGTTTATGAAATTAGTTTTATCTTCACATGGGTTGAAATATACTGAATGACACTTGAGTATTTTAAGCAATATTTTGAACAGTTTTTATTGTATCGACTCTTCAGCAATCCCTCACACCAAGCATGCTTGCAGTGACAGTGGAAAGGAAAAACTCCCTTTTAACCAGGCTCAGTGTTAGCGGCCATCTGCCGAGTGCCGACTGGGGTTCAAGGAGACAGAAGCAGAGATACAAAAGGCAACTGTAAAGCAGCTCCATGGGCTATATATATATATATATATATATATATATATATATATATATATATATATATATATATATATATATACAGTGTTGGGCAAGCTACTTGTCCAGTGTAGTGAGCTAAGCTATCAGTTACTCAACAATAAATTAAGCTTCACTACACAAAAGCAACCACCTAAAGAATTATAGCAAGCTAAGTTACACTAATGTGTTAAAAGTAGCTTAACTACATCAGAAGCTACTTAACGTTGTACCAACCTAATGTCAATTCAAAATGAGTCTGATGCACTGGTTAAAATATTTATTAAAGATCAGCCAATGACATATCACAGTGTAAACATTGCTTTATGATCAGCATATTAAAATAAAAACTAAAGTAATTACTAGTAGACAAACTAGTAAACAATCTGCTGTTATTAGAACCAAATTAAAGGTACTGTGTAGTGTTCTACACACCGAGACATGGCTATGAGTTTGCATTCAATGGACATCTCTAGAGAAAACAAAACCCTACAAAAGACCTCAATTAAACAGTTGATTCAAGTAACAAACAAAACTGTTTACAAAAGAAGGTGAAAAAATAAAGAAGCTAATTAAGAGATACATATATATATGTCTCATCATATAATTTAATTTCTACCTACATATTTATTCATTGTATTTTTGGAGGCAATTAATTGAATGCTTATTTATTTATTTATTGAGAATTTATTTATTTATGTATTTATTTTATATACGGTAGAGCTGTTCCTCCATAAAAAATCTTATCTGTGCACAGCCTAAAAACAGATTTATGTAAACATCCTGTCAGGTAAACTAGGCCATGAGAATACAATATCGAAGTTTCACTACTGCTCTCTAATTAGAGTATCTTAGTGGCACATAGATATGGGAGAATTATCCTGCCATAATGCAAGAGCACATAACTTCAATTAGAGAAAAGAATTTCATCTTCTTGCTCTCAAAACTTATAATGCTCACACTCAAAACATGCGCTCTCTCTCAAATATTTTCTCTTCTTTCTCAAATCTTTGTTTCTTCTCTCAGATTTAATGCTTCTTGCACAGATATTTTCTCCTCTCGCTTGCCTCCTTCTCTTCGCGCACAAACCGCGCTCTGTTACGCTCGCAAACCCGTAGGCTCTGCTTGCGGATTTGTTTTGCTCTCTCAGACTGCAGTTGGATCGTTGCCTAGCAACCTTTCCAGCCAATAGAACGACAGCCTGGGAAAGGGTGCGCTTGTTTAACCCTACTGAGTGTGCCTGTGCTACTACGCCACTTATAAGAGCGTCAGCTGAAACTGCTATTTACAGTAGTTTTGTGGCTGATTGTTGTTTAGAAATAGAAAACCTGGTTTCATTTCTTAGTTTTGCCCTGGATTTTGTAGCGTTTGTGGACGCTACGTCGCTACTTGATCAAAACAATAACGTCGCTACAGGAAAGTTACTTGATAAATAAAGCAGCGACGCTACGGTCAAGCTACTGGAAAATGTAGTTAAACTAATAGCTTCGCTACATGTAGCGGCGCTACTGCCCATCACTGTATATATATATACACACACACATACACTACCATTCAAAAGTTTGGGGTCACATTGAAATGTCCTTATTTTTGAAGGAAAAGCACTGTACTTTTCATGTTTTAAACTAGTCTTAACTTTAAAGAAATACACTCTATACATTGCTAATGTGGTAAATTTCTATTCTAGCTGCAATTGTCTGGTTTTTGGTGTAATATCTACATAGGTGTATAGAGGCCCATTTCCAGCAACTATCACTCCAGTGTTCTAATTGTACAATGTGTTTGCTCATTGGCTTAGAAGGCTAAATGATGATTAGAAAACCCTTGTGCAATCATTTTTCACACATCTGAAAACAGTTTAGCTCGTTACAGAAGCTACAAAACTGACCTTCCTTTGAGCAGATTGAGTTTCTAGAGCATCACATCTGTGGGGTCAATTAAACGCTCCAAATGGCCAGAAAAAGAGAACTTTCATCTGAAATTCGACAGTCTATTCTTGTTCTTAGAAATGAAGGCTATTCCATGCGAGAAATTGCTAATAAATTGAAGATTTCCTACAACGGTGTGTACTACTCCCTTCAGAGGACAGCACAAACAGGCTCTAACCAGAGTAGAAAAAGAAGTGGGAGGCCGCGTTGCACAACTGAGCAAGAAGAGAAGTACATTAGAGTCTCTAGTTTGAGAAACAGACGCCTCACAGGTCCACAACTGGCATCTTCTTTAAATAGTACCCGCAAAACACCAGTGTCAACAACTACGGTCAAGAGGCAGCTGCAGAATTCTGGGCTTCAGGGCAGAGTGGCAAAGAAAAAGCCATATCTGAGATCGGCCAATAAAAGAAAAAGATTAAGATGAGCAAAAGAACACAGACATTGGAAAGAGGAAGTTTGGGAAAAAGTGTTGTGGACGGATGAATCCAAGTTTGAGGTGTTTGGATCACAAAGAAGAACGTTTGTGAGACGCAGAACAAATTAAAAGATGTTGGAAGAATGCCTGACGCCATCTGTTAAGAATGGTGGAGGTAATGTGATGGTCTGGGGTTGCTTTGGTGCTGGTAAGGTGGGAGATTTGTACAGGGTAAAAGGGATTCTGAATAAGGAAGGCTATCACTCCATTTTGCAACGCTATGCCATACCCTGTGGACAGCGCTTCATTGGAGCCAATTTCATCCTACAACAGGACAATGACCCTAAACACACCTCCAAATTGTGCAAGAACTATTTAGAGCAGAAGCAGGCAGCTGGTATTCTATCGGTAATGGAGTGGCCAGTGCAGTCAACAGATCTGAACCCCATTGAGCTGTTGTGGGAGCAGCTTGACCGTATGGTAAGAAGAACTGCCCATCCAACCAATCCAACTTGTGGGAGCTGCATCTGGAAGCGTGGGGTGCAATTTCTCCAGATTACCTCAACAAATTAACAGCTAGAATGCCAAAGCTCTGCAATGCTGTAATTGCTGCAAATGGAGGATTCTTTGACAAAAGCAAAGTTTGATGTAAAAAAATCTTATTTCAAATACAAATCATTATTTCTAACCTTGTCAGTGTCTTGGCTCTGTTTTCTATTCATATCACAACGTATGATGGTGAATAAGTGTGACTTTTCAGGAAAACACAAAATTGTTTGGGTGACCCCAAACTTTTGAACGGTAGTGTATATACACTGCTCAAAAAAATTAAAGGAACACTGGAGCAAGGAGCAGATACTGGTCCTTCTGATGGGTTGTAGACCTTCTACGGCCCTGTCCAGCTCTCCTGGAGTAACTGTCTGTCTCCTGGAATCTTCTCCATGCTCTTGAGATTGTGCCGGGAGACACAGCAAACCTTCTGGCAATGGCACGTATTGATGTGCC